ATCAGTGAAATGTTGCGCATTAAGTTTAACAATAAAATGACGCTTAGAAAGTTTCCCCAGAGTATTTTCTAAATATTTCCAAAAAATCATATTTCTGCCTGACACTATTTTAGGTGGAGTTCTAAAATTAAATGCACATTAACATTTTGGAGTCAGACATATACAGGGTGACTTTGAAGTTGAGTCATTAATTTTCAGATAATGATTGTAGAAGGAAGATAAACGAAAATTTGTGTGTAAAAATAAAAAAAATTATAAAAAAAAATTTTACCTTGTTTTATAAAGTATCCTTCCCGACAAGTATTTCAGTGCTGACCTGTATTTGATCGTGAGGTCTTGGAGCACCGGCATGCCGTCACCTGATTCACGAGCCCGTTGTACTACATTAACAAAGGCACGAGGGGTTGGTTGCACTCGATTGGGAAACCGATCCGCATAAACATGTGCCATTTTTTATTTCGTTTGAGCCACGCAACAGACACCACTATTCACTGACACTGACTGTATACAAATGAATAAAATAATTGTAAAAACATCGTTTCAAATTCTTTCGCTTTTTTGTTTCCGATGCGATGAACCGATACGGCGGATTATATCCGTTGTCGCCAAACACGAGCACATAATATTATTATTGAGACAGGGCGGTACTCAAACTTCCAAAGGGCTATAACTTTGTTACTTTAATTTTACCAGAAAAATGGTAAAGGAAAAAAACATTTCTTTTGATCAGATCTACTCACTGTTAAAATAAATGACTCAACTTCGAAGTCACCCTGTCTATATATATATATATATATATATATATATATATATATATATATATATATATATATGAGCAGTAGTCATTTCCAAAGCAAAGGACCAGTTGGGTACAAAATACAATTACTTGTTAATTGGGAAATTGGCAACACTTTTAGGCTTAAGTTGACTCTTTTGACGATAAAATCAAGCTTTCGGCATTCTCTATGGAGCCTTAATCAGGATTCTGAAAACACAATTGTGATGCTAGCAAAGGAAACAGGACAGATTTAAAATGTCAGACAACTTACTCGTCGGTGAGGTTGCAGCCACAAGGCAAAATTAAAATTATATCAATACACCCGAACAAGTTAAAAATATTACACGTGGGGAGAAATTTTGTTGAAATAATCGGAATGCAGTCCCTAACCTTCTACTACCGCTACACGTGGAGAGGGGAAAGGCACGGAAAGGTAAAGCGTCGACAGATGACAAGTGATTGACGCGACGGACCGTGGAAATGTACACCTCCCTGTCCAACTTTGGGTATGAAGTATACGAGGGACGCTCGGTAAATCTCCACCCAAAATCACTAAAATGCTGAAATAACATGTTTTGGAAAAAAGTGTGTTGTTCATATGAGTGCAGAATGTATGATATTGATACAACCTTGAAAAGATGGGTTATGTAAGTTTATATTAAAAATGTGGGTGAGAAAATGTATTCTAATTTTGTGAAGATGTTGGTTCAATTTGGATATGTAGCCGTTCTAGCTTTTCGAAATTCAACAGGTAGGAATAAATGACACTGAGCTGCTTAACATCAGCCTTTTTATTCATGCAATGATCTGTCATGAAAATGTGGGACATTTCTAAATATAAACATTTTGAGAGTCTTTTTTCTTTATCAAGAACCTCAATACTGCCATAATTCATAGAGTGACCTGTGTTGTTAATATGCAATGCCAAAGCACATCTTTCTGGATGTAATCTGGCATCACTTTTGTGTGACGTTATCCTGCCTTTCAGAGACATAGAAGTTTGGCCTATATAAACTAAATTGTAGTTGTTGCAATTAATACGATAGACAGTATTGGTTGAATCAGGCAACTGAACCTTATCCTTCATTTTGGACAACAAACTGTTGACTGTGAGCACTGATTTACAAGCAAAACGACAATTAAAGGAATTATACAGCCTGATCAATGTTGGTGTTAGTTCTTTGATGTATGGCAAAACAACATAATTAACTCTGGAAATAGGAGCAACTACTGTAGTGCTGTTGTTCTCATTAGTTGAAGAATTAATGGGTATCTGGTTGGATTGACCCGTGTTGTCATTTTCACTATTGTTGTTAGTCATTGGCAAAATATTCGGAGGAGAGCTGAACAAAATTCTGTTAACCAAATACTTAGGACAGCCATTGTTGATAAATAAGACTGAAAGCTTCCTTAAATTGGAAAGATTGAAAGTACTGTCAGAGATTTTTATAACCCTGTTCTTCATTTGTTTCACCAGGTTTACTTTTATTTTAAGTTCATGGTAAGACCTGAAGTTCAGGAACCTTCCGGAACAAAATGGTTTCCTGTACCAGTCTACCAGTAATATATTGTCATTGGCACGAATCAATCTTGAATCCAATAAGGGAACAGATTGATTGTCTTCTTCTTTTTCGATGGTGAACTGGATGTAGGGATCATAACTGTTAAAAACCTCAACAACATCATCCAACCTATCATAAGGAAGACAAACGATTATATCGTCCACATACATTTTAATGAAAATTAGATTGAATGGCAATACATGAATAATAATATCAAGCAGGTCATCCATTACATATTCTGCCAAAATTGGAGATAAAACAGAGCCCATGGGGCAGCCATGTGTTTGTGAAAACACTTTGTTATTAAAGGTAAAGTAATTGTTCTGGAAAAGGTACTCTACGATATTGATGAAAGAATCCAGAGTTAGGTTGCTGTGTTGGTAAATTAGATCCCCATGTTTGTGGATGGATCTTCTAAATACACATTGCTGAACAGTGAAACTACATCTAAACTCGCAAAAACATGATCAGGGAGGGGGTATTTGAAATCTATTAAATTGTTGACAAATATCAAACGAGTCTTTTATAAAGAATTCTCCTTTGATGTGAGCTGACTTTAGAGTATCTGCAATTAATGAAGATAAAGCTAGTGTGGCTGATTCAACAGAAGCCACAATCGGTCTTACTGACAGTACCGGTTTGTGTATTTTGGGAAGAGCATAAAATAAAAGGAGAGACAGAATTATAAGTGATTAAGGACTTCTTTTGGTCTTGGTTGATATGACCAGTGCTGAGTAGCTTGTTAACAATGTCATTGCAACCTTTCTCTACTTTGGATGTAGGGTCTTTATTGATAACCTTGTAAGAGGGATCATTATCAATCAAATTATTACATAGGTCAAAATATTGTTGTCTTAACATAATTACGGTAACACTGCCTTTGTCTGATTTTGTAACAATCAAGTCGGGATGATCCTTAATAAATTTCCTTGTTTTATTTAACAGGTTGTGGTAGAAAGAGTGTTTTTATTATATATATATTATATATATATATATGCCATAAATTTATATTCTAAGTTTTAACTATTCAAAAAACGATATCATCTAAGTAAACCTGGAAAGTATCAGACTGTTATTTGTTTCATAATATCGCCGGCCAAGCATCTTTCGGTTTTGGCATACGTAAACAGTCCCTATTTCCGATTTTAATCGTATAGTCATCTATTTATACAATTTATGGTTTTAATAAGGATAACAGTAAACGTTGACGAGATCACCACTAATATAAGATATTGTTACTTTTGGAAACAAGGTCATGCTCAGCTGCGTTCAGTCTCAGGACTAAAAAGATACAAGACGAACTTCAAATTACTTCACTGTGAATAAGGCCTATTCATTTATATGACAAGCTAGGTTCGGTTCCTAACCTTGTATTTAAGTCTCTCCGAAATTGATTTTGTGAGAACTTTTGACTGAGTTTTTCATCAACTTGATGAGAATAGATAAGTATGGCCGAGTAATCACTTTTGTAGCGACGAGAATATGGGTAAAATTCCTTGTGTTCATCACCTAATCATCATCACACTACGATTTAGGTCTGTTTCATATCTCAGCATTGAAGTCACAGCTTTCAATACGTCATCATTTTGAAAGTGATTATTTTAACAGATAAATGTGACAAAAAGAATCATGAAAAAATGAGGAATAATAATATATTTCATATAGGAAGTACGTAACCTGAAGCAGGAACAGATAAGTAATAATAACATATAATTTAGGACACATTGTGCAGAACAATGTGACTAGATGACAAAAGAAATGAGTGATGCATGGTCAACAATAGGTATGTGCGTATAGCCTTTGCACATAAAGATTTGATTTACTTTCTGCTTCTAAAGATCCTAAGGCTTGCTACGGTTTTAATAGTATAATCATATTACCAAATTGCCTCGAAATAATTGTAAAGTCTGGTTTTATTGATGCAAGTTGTTCAAGGGGGTATTTAAAACATAGACGTATAAAATGGGTACACCAATTTTTGTGGGAAAACTTTTTATTTGACAACAAATAATGAGAAAACGTGTTTTTTGGCATTCAATCGATAGTATTGATAGGAACGAAAAATCTGTTTATATAGGTGAGATTTTTAGGTATTTATGAGACCTACAAAATGAGAACACACGTAAAAAAATCCGACTAATAACAAAAATTTCATGCAACTATTTGAAATTCTTACAATCCGTAGGATTCTTACTTCTAATAATCTACTCCAATTTTGTTATGGTTATCTAGAAGTACGAATCCTACGAATTTGCAGAATTTCAAATATCTGCGTGAAGCCGTTGCCGCATTACCAACAAGTGCCAAAACCTGCAGTTTGCCTGGGTTTTCGGCAATAGCTTTTTTGCTATTAGTCAGATCTTTCTACGTGTGGTTTCATTTTGTAGGTCTCATAAATACCTAAAAATCTTATATGGAGACTTTTTTTCATTCCTGCCCACACTTTCGATTGAATCCCAAAAAACACGTTTTCTCATTCTTTGTTGTCGAATAAAAAGTTTGGTGTACCCATTTTATGTCCATGTTTTGAGTACCTCCTTGAATAACTTGCAGTAATAAAACCAGACTTTACAATTATTTCGCAGACCAGGGGTCTTATCGTCTATGATTAGACTATAATTCAATATAAAAATGCTTTGTTAATACAAAAAGTTTATTCGATGCAACAATGTTTACACTGAGAAAAGTGCTTTGTGTAGATAAATTAATAGGTTTGTGACAACTTTACTACTCTCATATCTACCCGATGGACAATGTGGGATATCCATTAAAGTTTTATAGTCTTACCTATTCAGATGGAAGGGTTGTTGTAATCTGAAACAAAATAACAGAAATGATATTACTTAACTTTAATGGCATGTTCTCTTGGAGTGTATGATTGCTTGTATACATTTTTTGGGTGAGGATGACATAAACCCGTGGTTATTACTTTAAATCAACGAGTAATAAATATTAATATATATTTGGAGATAAACTTGAATCATATGTTGCATTAAAAGTTGACACAAATAGGAGGTGTACACGATTTTGAGCTATTTTGTTAGATTAAGAGAAACTATATTATAGACGATGTTTTCTAACATGAGCTAAAAGCTCCATTGGTAATTGTTTCGGTAAAACAGTTTCAAATACACCAAATTCTCTTCTTCGTGAGCTACATTCAAAAACAGTACCTTTGGATTTCAAACATTCGCGAGTTCAGCAATCAGTGAGGAGAGGAATAAAGTCCTTGGAATGCTTGCCCCTATACCTGTTTCACACGTCAGAGAGAAGTCAGGTGGTATAGGGCAAGTTTTTCGAAACTTAAACTGCCAAAGTTGGGTATTTGTATACATTGAATCGTTTATAATGCTAAAACCTATAATCAAAGTGTTATGGTACGTTACAATATTCTTCCTTTGGAAGGAGCTATTTGAATATGTAACTAAGCTTGGGTACATTCGGTTTAGAAAGATTACATGTTTTGAAATAGAATGATCCCGATCTTATTATATACATAATTCTATAGACCCTTCCAAGGAAGAATATTTATATAACTTACCATAGGATTTTAATGATTGCTTGTTGTTCTTCATTTTGAGAAATATTGATTTTGTAATCAAGTTTACTAAATTACTCATTAGGAGCTTCAAAATGTCGTATCAGGCGACCACGCTCTATTTAAAAAAATCCAAAATAGCGCCCAACCTTCTTCTTGAGATTTTCAACTGTCAATTATACGCTAAAATGCATTAGTTTCACTATTCTAGATTTCAGCTTGCTAGCATGACACATTCAATGTCAAGCAATGGGAAGGTGACCTTTTTTAAAAGCACTGTACACAGATGAGTCAAACCACAGGTGGAAGAACAAGTTAAGGAACCACCAAAAATCCGAGGTGGTTACCAAAAAATCAAAACCAGCGCAATTAATCCGAAGTTCCAGAAAAGTACATTAATAAACTAATTTACAGGCATCGCTACGGCATGTCTACATAAGGAAAATCTACATTTGCGATGATCAAAGACGTGATCCGTTAGGTTTTCTCAAAATACATCGATGGTTGGACTAAATTAATTGAAAATAACATCCACACATTAGTTAATCGACTCTGAAATTAAAATGCTTGATAAAATTCACTGTAAATGCGTGTGAACTTCTCAACCGAATGGCTAGCATTTTAGGTCGCAACTCCCTGACTATCAATATTATTAGCATTTTTCCACATAAAATCCCGTTTCTATACTTAAAAGTCTAATCTAAATGTAAATATTTGGACCAAATTAATTTAATTCACTTTATATGAGCGTTAAGGCTCATTCAGTTACTTGTTTCATCCTTTCAACTGCACTCTTGATTTATGACCCGAAATTATCTCGGCGACAGGTTTACAGATTAACCTGCACATTACACCACTCTTTTAATACGCACATTTTTTATCAGTCTCCAGTAGAAGCTCACCATCACAAAAACGGCCGCTGTACATTTAATACAGCCTTGTTGATATCTGTTAATCGGTCTACATGGAAGATTTAAATAAAACATTCATCATTCAAGTATTACTTTAGGCATGGGCAGCCAAAGACGGTTTTTAAAGGGTAAAGTAGAGCCATCAACCGCTTGATTAAAAGATATCAATTCATTTCTTAATACTCATATAAGATGGTAGTACGAAAAAGTATAGCATTGATGACGTAAAGAATTATTTTTCAAATGAGAGTTGTACATTAAACAATTCAGAAAAAAGGACAAAGTTGAGCTATAAAGTTAGGACAATGATTTTATTTTCAACTAACCCTGTTAAAAATAAGATGCAAAAGACTTGAGTAAACATGCCAGTAAAAGACAGTAGAGTTTTTTGAAATTGTATCGAAAAACATTATTTCGGTCAGGAAGACGTGGTGAAAGACAGAACGTCCAATATTCCATCGAACGGCATATCCATCGTGCTGTGGATGTTATGGTATGGGGTGTCATTGCTTACGGCAGCAGGACACGATTAGTGTTCATTCGAGGTAGCATGACTGCCCAGCGCTATATCCACGAAGTTTTACAACCACATCTGCTTCCCTTTTTGGACACATTGCAAGATCCACTTTTTCAGCAGGACAATGTACGATCTGATGTCGTACGTGTTAGTTTAGACTTTTTAGAATCTTCCCTAGTAAACCTGCTTCAGTGGTCTCCTCTATATCCAGACCTTTCCCCCATCGAACATGTATGGGACATGGGAAGAAGGTGGAAAAATTGACTAGAGGCTCTACGAGACCAAATTCAGATGGCTTGGGATGCAATACACCAATAGTCTCTTACTAGGTATTGCATTTTCTATGTCATTTAGTATATTTTGTATTACTTACTTAAATTTAGCATAAGATACTACAGCGTCCAAAATGTATCATCATAATGCTAAATGGATTCGATCAGCAATGAAAATATAACATGTTGAATCCTCAAAGAGGCATTACGAGTATTGTAGTAGCATCAGGAAGGAACATCTATGAATGCGATCCTTAGTGCATCGCTAGTTACACTACTGCATTCTTATTTGTAAAACGTTGTGTATTTATGGCACTGTTTGGTCGTCATCAAAATTTTATGGCTATAATTCTGTTATCATTATAGAGTAATACTCAATAGTAGCTACTTTTCTTACTATATGCTTCCCTTTCACTGATACGTCAATGAGTAGTAAAATTTCAACTTCAAGCAATTTACTAGATTGACCAAAAGTGGACGATGACCAGCCAGCTCGCATATCACGTGATAAATATGTCCATTAGAGTTTCCTTTTGAAAATTTATATTTCAACGTTTAGACATAATTGACGTCAGTAATACCATAAACGGCTGTGCACTAATGAATAGGATCAGCCTCCTAACTCAACCCAACTAAATGTTTATTCAATACATATTTTAATTCGATTATATCCCGTTGGATGTACGGTTCAGGTGGAATTTTTGCGAGGTAATGCGGTAGTAGTGAATATGTGAAGGTCCATATCGCTCATATAATCTCACGCAAAATTACATAATATATGCTCAGAGTAATTTATAGGCCGGACCTCCTTGCCGTTAGAGAACATGCCGTATGTTCATGCCATTCATGCTGAGAGCCCACTAATTGGAACCCTTTGTGAATCATTCGTTTATCCCGTGATATACAGGGTTATTATAAGGTAAAACATATTATCTGGATTATTATATATTTTTATCAGTTCCTTTCTAAATTCGTATAGTCAGTTGCGGCATGCTGCTCTCCTGCGCATAAATAATGGTACTTTCCCTTCTCAGAAGGGTGCTATCGAATAAAGCTGTATTTTCCCTCGCCAACTGGAGAGGAAGAATAGTAATTTCAATAATAAAATAAGATATGCTTTTTGTATTACATTGTATGTACATGATCAAAAACTAGCCGAGCGGCCATGTGAATGCCGCCCTTACAAATTTTCAAGAATCGACAGGCATGCGACCAGCGACGGACCAGACAGTTATCAAATTGGAGCGTTACTTTGCTTTGCATATTATATATTATTTTATAGTGTTTTTCCGTTTTGTGTCAGTTTTGTTCAAAACCATGGACGGAATTGAAACCTTATTAGAAAAATGAGGAAAGGAAGAAGATACTATTGAAAAGTTCAAAGGTAAGTAGTCATAATATGAGTTAATGACTTTCGTAATAAATCTGGGTAACCATAATTATTACATACTATAGGCCGGTGATGGTCATACTCATAACACGATTTCACCGATTCTCCCACGTAGCTCGACCCGGGTTTTATCAATTTTTTATTGTCGCGAGAAAAACTCAAAAAATGGTTGGGACATACTTTGAGGTGTCTGAGAAATCGAGATATGAATCGCCACGAAATTCGTAAATTTTGTAATTTTTATTGTGAAAAACAGTATAGTTTCAGAGCTGCTGGCTACTTTCGTTTAAAATAGCTGAGCCCGAATGTCAGAGAGTTCTTGTGATATTGTGATCTACGGTATAGAAAGAACACACTTCAAACTGTTTTACAGATCCCCTAATTAATGAGATGGTTTTGTGGTTAAAACACAACTCGGAGCCATGGAGTGAGGTCATGGAAATATTTAGGAAGATCCAAGCTATAGAAAAATAGTAAAACAATTTCGACAAGACTGGCCTATTTTTCAATATCTCAAGGGAGAGGTTCTGGTAAAAAATATTCCACACCTTGAAAAATAATCAAATCATTCTGCTGGTGTCTCTGACTAGATTGTTATCATTATAATTTTCTCCTTTGTATTTTCTGCCAATTTTCATTATTTTAACAACTTACTTCTAAAATATACTTATTGCAGATTAACCTGGATTTTGAGATACTATTTCCTGACGAAGCTCTTAACTTCTACCTCAATTAGGATAGTGTACTTAAAAAATTACTGATTACGACTTAATTTAATTTTCACAATGCCTATAGTCTGCAATAGTTTCATAACCTACATTTATGATTTTTTCTAATGAAGATATATTATTTTATAGGTTCCCGGTGACATTGACATTATTATTGCTAAAAAGTAAGCGAGACTGCAGAAAAAAAGCTAAGGTTCAGCCTTATTTAATAGTGGTAAAACCAGATCTATCGAATATAGGCACGAGTTATATTGTTATTGTCGATTGTATAAGGTACCTGTTTGATAGCTCTCTCAAAGCATTCGATATGCTGTTCAAAATATTTCAAGTGTTCAATGCGGACTATCCAATACAGAGTATACATATAAGTATGTATAGTCTGATACAAAAATCAGAGTATAAGATCAATCTACCTACAGGCAAAATTATTTCGGATATATGTGAGTCTATTACGTGCATTGCACCATTGACGTTGCTTTAATGTAATGTGACACATAAAATTATTATGTTCATTTTATTCCAACTCGGCATTCCATCCATTGTCAAATTGATATTCTAAAAAACTTCCTGTAAAAAGTTATCTAATATTCTCTTTTAGGTGTCTTAATAATTACTTTCTGATCCATGATACGTTTTATTAAAACATAACCAGACAGAGATTGTTACTAGACCTGCCAAACTAACTGAAACATTATTTTTTCTATACTATAATATTTGAGAAATCACTATATTTGTCTACCACGCATGAAGTTGCTGAAATTGAACCGTATAAGACTTTGAAATGTTTTTTGCAGTTTTGTACATGATGCTCAAAGCTTCCGTGGATATCGGGTTATTATAGCTATGCCGATTGAGCTGAAGGTACCCATGTATTATATATCCTAGCCTGCCTTGTTCGTTTGTTTTACTATACAGTTTTGGCAATCCGGATCCGTCAACGAATAAATCAGCCTAATTTGACAAGTGAGCTAAGTATCAAATAAGCATAATGTTTATATTCACATATGCGCTATTTATAATTGATACAACTCTGTCAACATATAATTATATATAATAATAAAATAATAGTATATCTACGTACTAAAAATGTTTTTCAGCCATTAGTAATAATTCGATATGTTTTTCATACTTTGAAGCTTCCTGACAGACAAACGAGGCCCTAGGATATAGATAAGTTGAAATCAATCGACATATTTTAAACTGGTCAAACTATAGTAACTCTTCTGTGTCCACCAAATTCTGAGACACCATGTATATTTTATGCTAGATATCCATCGCATCAAATCAGGTACCTGAAGTGTATTAATCTAAGTATATCATTTACTTGAAGTGAGATACTTGCTTTTTAAATCAAATGGTAACTCAATCTGAGAATCCCATTTCCCTGGATCCAGTATATCGTTTTCATAAAGGACAGTATTTCCTCGTACTGACATTAGTAGCATGATATAAAACCCTCCGTTCTGTAAATGAAGTACATAAATCCCATGATATGTGAGCATCATTTCCTTGGATCAATTTTCTAAGCTCTTGATAGAAATACTTGAATCAAGGTAGTAATCCATAATATTAGAGAATCCTTCACTTGAATCTAGTACATAGTCTCATTATACAAGAGCGAGGCTTACTCGATACATCGGTTACTTGATGTGAGGACATCAAATTCTTCTCTTAAATGCCTGGTTTCTTAAATTCAAGATCATTGGATCCCTGAGTCTTAGGAAATGATCTCCGTTTAAAGTAACATGTCATAGAAACATATCAAAGTCAGGATTTCTCCAATTCAAGGTAGTGAGTCTTCATTCAAGATCACTCTTTTTTGTGCTCAATCAGGTACGGACATGTATGACAGAGAAATTAAACGGATCGAGTTAGTCAAACAGACCCGCAGCATTACCAGCGTCTCCAAGATTTAACCCCCACAAAAAAGTCTCTAAAAAGGAGCTTTTGATACGAAATTTGCGAGATTTTAGTTTTTTTGTAGTTGTTTCTTTCTTTGCCGCTACTGGACCGATTTTCAAACACTACAAAGCTTTTTTGTCTTTGACATATTAATGATCTTGTACGGGCCAATGGTTAGCAGACAGACTGACATACAGACAAACCGACAGACAGACTGACTCACAGACCGACGGAAATAAGTGACATGGTTTTTGGGGATGCACTCTCACATGTCAGCATCAAAAAAAACATAAATTCTCATTTCCGAAATATTTCGCGATTACAGTACTTCCTCGCCAATATGATATATTCCAAACTCCAAACAGTGATTAGATGTATATAACACTGGAAACCTGCCATGTTGGAAAGTTTACATACGTCACAAAACCGTAAGTAGTAAAATAACAAGGCACGTTCTTCCGGTTCTATAACTGCAATTATGGTAAAATCTCGGCCTTATCTAAATCAGTCACAATCTTAGCTCACTTATAGGCCTTTTTGGATGTAGCTCAAACCTAACCTCGAATCAAACCAATTGTTAATGTCGCAGCTGTAAAACTGGTATCATTTCAGCGGTTTCCGTCCATTTTATTCGGTCTAAAAAACGCTTTGCATTACCGAAAGCCATTCAAGACGTCTAACGTGCGACATATTTCGCAAAAGCCATGAAACGACCATTTCAAATCTGAATTTTCAAGTGGTGGTCTCTGACAAAAACTAAACGCTGGCCCAGTCGCAATATCGCGACAAATTTCGGAGGTGTACGGTTTTATATTAGGAAGGCGCGAACAAAGTTGGGTAATGCGCATTCTTGTCGCGTTGCCACATACTGTGGAGAAAAAATGTAACGAAAAAGTTTGATGCTTCGCAGTAATCTATGAATGATATAAAATGGTTTAATTGGGTTGGGTTAGAATTTAATTGTTTTATAATGAATTGAATATGCGATATAACCATGAAAATGTTGTCCAATATCCGATACTCAGGATGTTACTTAATAATGTGCTAATATATTTCCGCAATAGACGGCCTAATATTTTGCTATGGTGAGAATTTGATTCGTTTTGTCAGTTCACTATTATCGGAGCTGGTTTAGATATTATCAGGTCGATGACTAATGCCTTCTACTCACTCCAACACCAGTCGAACTCAAGAAAACAGACTCTCGCGTCATTATTTTGTCGATGCGGTCCCTTCCTCTGATAACGTCTATCCGTCGACGTTGAAATTGTAATATGCGCTCACAGCAAAACGAAAATTTTCAATTGGATTAACTAACATTTTCTGCAATCTGAATTGACATGTTATGATTTGACGCCCCACTAAAAAAATGATTACTGTATTTCCATTTCAGTTAAGATTTCGGTAGTGGTTCCCAAAAAGTTAACTTACTATGAATATCTAGGAATCACAAGAATATTGATACTTTATTTGCGTTGAAGGGTAAAGTTCGGTTTTTAAATTGTTTTCGTTATAAAGGTTATTAACAGCGGATTTGATATCTATATAATACTCATTAAAATTATTTTTTAACACTTTCATGGATCCATTCTTAGTTTTACAATAGTCTTAAAGTAACGTTTGTTTAACCTTTTTATGAGAATATTTTATTGTGGGTGTTGAACGAAATATATATTTATGTAGTTTGAGTAATATAAGCGAATATTTTAATCGTAATATTAGTTTTAATTTGAGTGACTTATTTATTATATCGGCCTTGTATATAGCCGAGGTCCTAGCAAGGTAATTTGGAAAAGTTGAATGAAATCTAAGGGTGGATTTTACCAAGTTTGTCAAATCAACAGTCCGTTATTCTCCACTTATAGGGTAACAGTCCGTCAAATACAGCAAATGGGCTTCAAGTTTTAATCAACAAATTTTAGCAACCAATAGCTATGAAATGTTGAAAACAAAATACCGTCAAGTATGAGATGACAACTTGTCATTGAAACATCACCAGTTTATTGAATATCAAGAAATTACATATAATTCAGCCAAAATTTAAAGAAATGTTGGATCTTTGAATAAAATTCATGTTTTAATTACTGTTGTTGATTTTTTATTCATGTTTATACTATAACTTACATGCTATTTTAATGATTCAACATCACCTGCCGCGTGTTCTTTTCCTATAAACCTCTTGCAGATAGCACCTCTACTTGATGTCATTCTCTACCAAAAAGTTCATAGGTATTGCTCGTTTCCAAACATTCATAAATTTACTTGCCGTTCATCAGAACCATTAGGGCACCTTAGGTTGATAACTATTTTCACAAAACCATTAAGATTTTGATATCCATACATCCATAAAGTTGAATATTTTTCGTTGTTCAGGAACTGAACAAACATCCACAATATACAAGTATTCACAGCGATTAAGAAATACCCAAATATATATGTCTTAAAGCTACCAGCAAACCTAAAACCTGCAAAAAAACTACAAATTTGCGATATTTTTCTTTTTTCTCGAGTACACATTCTAGGTTATATAATTAGACATTATTTGATTAACAGCTGATTATTGCATTTCAAAACTCCCCGAGTGACACATGTGTGGGATCTGTCAACCCTTGGTCCCAGTCACAAAACATATACACTGAAGAAGGTTTAATTCCATGCTATTCAATGATAACACAGTGACTTGTGTGGTTGTCAGCGGCCATTTTTTGAGGGTGCGACATGGTTGCCAGATTGTGCACTAATATCCCGTTTCACCCCTCTGGTCCTAGTGGAGTAAGCTCCGCCAACTGTTGAATTTAGTAGCTCTCAAGTGCATTTCACATATTTTTTAAATGTTTCTATGACTCTTTACTAAATTAATATTGTATAACAGCATTTCATCAAAATGTTGTAGACTCAATCTCAAGGAAAAATCAATCAACTTCAGGACATTTGAACATTTTTATCAACTGCCATCACGACCACGAACTAAAAAATTGGCAAAGAAAAGGACTCCTTATCTGTTCATATTGACACAACGCTAGTTCAATTCAAAAATAGGCAGAAATTATATTTATAACCCGAAACTCGAGGAAAATGCGAAACCTTCTTGTCGTCTAACCAATAGTGTAATTCTAATCAATATTCTAATGTTAGGTTCTTCATCCTTACCTTGGATACACTGAACCACGACTACGCCGCTGCGCTGGTCAAACGGAAGCCTTCCTTCAGAAAATATCACAGAATTTATTGACCAGTCATTTCTATGTTCGTAAACTATATCGATCTGTACAGATACAAGTACCCAAGCACTACCTGTTTTCAACACCACACCACGTGTGACTTAGGCAAATAATTATATGTGTTTCTAACTAGAGTTCTATGCAAATGTTGTTTTTAATAACCAACTGCGCAAATGGCCGTCGTATCAATCATTAGCAGATATGCGGTTCTCATTAATGACAAAAGCTGTTCAGCTGCAGTGCTGCAGTTGGTGGCACTGTTCTATCGCTGTTTGTACACTTATAAACTTACACCTATAAACTTAGACACGGCGTTGGTCGCTCTGATATACTACATCCACAGTTCCAATGTCAATTTGAAACTAGTGCAATACTTCCTGATATTTTTGTGCTCAGATTTTTTAGTTATAAAGGTCGGTTAGCTCTATCATGTTTCTTTGGTGAGCGAGATCATTGTGAATATATTTTAATGATGGTTAAAAATGGACCAGAAAATATACGCAGATAAATGAAAGGAACAAAACGTTTTAGTTAGAACTTCATAGCGATGTTATTGAATCTAAAAAGCGACAATAGGGTGGAGTGATTTATTTTGTGCCAACTTTTATAATAATCTCGAGATTGATAAAATTATAATTGATAAAGGTTACCTTCGTTCAAGACGAGGTACATACACTGTTTTTCGAAAAGGTCCTCCCTACTTATTTTTTGAATGGGTCAAGAAATTCGAGGTAATGAAATTAATGCATAGGTACTAGTCTAGTAGTGTCAGTTGAAAATTTCAAGATGGCGGCTGGGCGCCATTTTGTAATATTTTTCTTGGTTGGAGGAGGGGTAGTGCGGTACCTCATTATGGAACTCCTTATCAGTACTTTATAATTAATAAAATACAAAGTCACTATTTCTTAAAACGGCGAACTGGCAGGCTGTCAAACTTCATCAGGCCCAAATGGATGTGCACCGAAAATACCGAAGGGAAAACATTTGCCCATCGCATCTGGATACGTGTGTAACCTGACGGAAAACGAGGATGACAAGTGAAATACAACTAGAAGCCACTAACAAGAGCCAGCAGGGACACGCATGGCTTCGTCCAGAAGCTGTAGGTACCTGCCGTGGTACTTCAAAAGACCATGCGTCTTCTGACAGAAGCCACAAATGTACCCGCTGGCTCTTGTTGCCGACTTCTAGTTGTATTCCCCTTTCAATCATTGTTTTCCTTCAGGATACACTCATATCCAGATGTGATGGGGATTACTTTAGTGTTTCCTATGCGCGTCCATTTGGGCCCTATGAAGCTAATATGCGGAAACGAACCTCGCTCGGGTTACCAATCCTTCTAATTCTGCTCCTGTTCCTTTTTTCTGGACGTGCCCACAATTGTCATGTTTCTCATAAAGGTTTCCGCAAGACTTCTTGTCTTTCTTTGTGACGAGATATAGAAGTGACTTCATCATATGTCAGTTTTCGCGAGAAACTTATAACAGCATTTTCTTCAAACAAATTGTTTTGGTTCAATTTATCATACGCTATGGACTATTTGTACGTGGGATCATTTGATATTAATGATTAGTTGAAAATATCACAGAATTAAGTTGGAGTGGATTCAGGCTGCATGTTTGGCTTACGTTTTGTGGTTCAGGAGCAGATCAAATTCCACGAAACTAACATATTGCAACCGCTTCCGTTAGAAATTCAAATATGCATAGTGATACCATACGAGGACCGTATGTGTACAATATCTCCAATTACTATCTGTTAGCATAGTGGTAAGAAAAATCCTCAGAACCGTTCAGTTTGCTTAAAATATTTGCTTATAATATTGTAGCTCTCAAGCATTTGTGACTGCTACCTTTCTTCTAACAATATTTACCCTACAGTTGTGTCTACAATGAAGGAATCCGTCTAAAAAGTGGTCCATCATAAAGAATAGATTTTTTGTGTCAGGACTATTTAAGCCATCAAAAGAACTAAGATGAGGTCACAATCAGGTACAGATACTCTTTAGGAAGCGGGCGCATACAGAAAATAGACGTTGTTATTTCAAGTGAAAATATGCACAGATTTTGCAACAGACTAATATTTGTCAAATGGAAAGGTTCTAGCGATTACAAGATTTTGTTAGGTAACTTTTTACTAAACATTAAAGCTAAAAAATCACTTTGAAACGTATAAGTGTATGAGGGTAAGTAGAGGGTATACGCTTTTCACTTTTCTTAAAAAATGGCAACAGTCAATATTTATCGAAACTTTCGAGCATCTTAAAATTTTCTGGATATTTATGCCTGCGATACTTTTGGATTTTATTAAACAATTATCTTTATGCACCTATCGGCCCTACGCAGCTCATGAGATAATGACACTCTTCTTCACCAAGGTATGTAATGCACTATTAAGTTTCCAGATGAGAGACCTCTTCATTTACCATAAAAATATATTTTTTCTAATACTTCAGACTACTATAAGTAGGGTCTGCCGGTTTGTCTAGTCAAATTTGTTAATGATGAGAAATTGTTATTTCTACATTATCTTTCAGCATCTCTTTAATTCCTGTGTGAACTGTACTATGAAACTCTTCTCTTTTTCAATCGAAAACAGAATTGTTGATAGTATTACCAGTGGATAAATAGCATTCACCCTGCATATATGCAGATGGATCATCCACAAGTGCATTGACTAATCTGCATAGAATACCCCGTAATATATATTTCTATATAAGGTGATGAAGATGTTCGAATGCTTTTGGGTAAACTCGAATCGCTCAGTAGTCCATAAATGCTCCGTAGCTTCGCCATTATTTTCTTGCGTACATAAATATGCATATTGAATAGGCTACTGCTTTGGTCGTAATGTTGTTCCGCGATCCATGTCTTTCAGATATATTCACTTATTTTACATTGCATGTGAGATTGATTTGTGAACCAATGGAATCAGTACAAAAACCATGCGATATAACAAAAATCCACACTCCGTATATATCAAGCATCAGTATAAGCTTACCAATAAATGCTAATCACACATGTATTGATCGCCCCACCTGAAAAAAATAAAATAAAATTCAATCAGTTTATTCCAAAAATATTTTTACTGCTTCCTTTTTGAGGCCATGCCCAGTAGTGATGTCAAAGGTCTTTGTAGTATCCACCGAAACCAGTTTTATAACTGAAACCGAAACTTCAGTCTCAGGTCGAAACCGAAATCAAAACTTATTTTAGGGAAGCAATTATTTTATAAACTAGTGAATTAGATATTCTAATTCCTATTTGATATGTAAATAGGTAATAGTGTGCCTCCAAAGCAAATCAAACTTTATAGAAATCACTCTATATTTCTAATATCATTATCTGTGGTAAATATAATTAAAAATTAGTTGAACTAACAAAACACTTTACTCTCATTAAAAACAAAGCAGCGTCTTTCCTCGGGTTTCTAACAATTTGTTACAAAAAACGACGTTTTTGCAAATTAGGGCAATACGATTTCCTTTTCCCTGTATAAAAAACAAAAAGAACGGCAACGTGAAAAAACTTGACGTGTTTCATAAAAACATCATTCTACTCTAAAAATTTACCCACTGCAGATTTTGATGTCAGTTAAAGAGTTGCAGTTTTTGATAACGGAAGGCATTGTGTTCTGACTGTCAGAGTGGGGTTGTTAAAAGTGAAAAGGATATGATGTTCCGAATTCAACCAAAATGTTTAGTGCTGCGTTTGCACTTGGCAATAAAATACAAAAAGTTATACACAAAAACAATAAATGCATGTATGTAGTTATCAATATATCAGCCCAACCGGTTCAAAAAGCATACGAACGTAGTTTCGGTTTCGGAAAATTGGATTTTAGACCAAAACTAGTCGAAAACGGAAGTGCTGTTCGAGCCCGATACTCTCCCTTGCTTTTTCTTATATTGAAGCGATAGCGAAGGCAAAAGTTTAAGTACCACGGTAGCACGACTGATAAAAAGAGTTAAGATTGATCCAATTTTTGGAATTCCCAAGGTGCAGCAGAACTGAGATAAACAACCTCAGGCACATTATTCCACAATTCCTAGACTCTGTGAGTGAAGAATCTGTCGCGTCAATCACGGAATTCGTCAAAAACAGAACGAACAGAAGGATTTCGTGATAAATACTGGCGTAAACCTAATATTATGAATTGTTTCAGGGGGACATGCTAGACGCAGTGTAATCGAATATGAGATTTATATTATTGGTAATAGGACCTAGGACGAAACACCTTTCTGCCTGTTTGATTGTTAAAAGCAGCACTTTTACTCATTTTTATTGACTCCTACCCTTTGTTTTGATTCCCAATATTACTGTATTACTGTCGGTACACACGGACGTTAAAATAAAACTGAAGCAATATTCTGCGGTTGTATAGATCTTTAGCAGTCCCATTAATGCACTACAGGATAATTTAAATGAGTGTCTGTTAGCTATATAATAACCCAATAATCATATCTTTCAGATATTTATGGTCAGTTATCTGGAATCTGCATAATACCCCTATTGGGCAGTCTAAAATGCGAATTTACCAACATTTAGTGATCATATTTATTTACATTTATAAGAAATATCTAAAACATGTGTCATGTACTGGGGATATGTTTATGATGAAGAAAAGTAAAAAGAAATGAGCGTATGGAAATTGTAGAAACAGGCAAATCAACACATTGTTATAATCGGAATTACGTATAATTTCAGGCAAAACAGTAGACAAGCAAAACGTTAATGGAGCATTCAAGCTAATGTCTGTCTGCAATTTAATTTATCACCTGACGAAAGTGAATTCTTAGCTGGACAATACGGAAATAGTTGAGTATCTCTTGTCTGTACGTCAGCTGTGAGGTGTAAGACGATACAGCCATTGAATGGTCCTCTGACAAAAAAAGGTGAATGAGCAGACAAGCTCATCTTTTCATATAAGGCGAATCCGATGACGATGCTTTGTGTCTGTCTTCTAGCTGAAACTTGCAATTAATGATTGATGGAGAAATGAAAATGTTTTCGCTGCCTCCTCAGTTCAAGTGCAAGAGAGATGTGAGGGAGAGTGCTTCAAGGCTTCAAGTTGATGCGTTGACTACAGTCCTAGCCTTATTTGATAGTCAAACAATGAAAGTCAATTTCATCAAGACTGGGATTGGCATATTGGTCATTGAAAATGTAGCCAAAATTTCATTCGAGTAGCTCAAATGAATTGCTTATATCCATTTTTGCATACAACCTAATTTCTGTCTGCAATTTAATTTATCACCTGACGAAAGTCAATTCCTAGCTGGACAATACGGAAATCGTTGAGCATCTCTTGTCTGTACGTCAGCTGTGAGGTGTAAGACGATACAGCCATTGAATGGTCCTCAGACAAAAAAGGTGAATGAGCAGACAAGCTCATCTTTGCATATTAAGCGAATCCGATGATGACGCTTTGTGTATGTCTTATAGCTGAAAGTTGCAGTTAATGATCGATGGAGAAAGGAGAATGTTTTCGCTGCCTCTTCAGTTCAAGTGCAAGAGAGGTGCGAGGGAGAGTACTTTATGCCTGGCTTCAAGTTGATGCGTCGGCTACAGTCCGGACTTTATTCGATAATCAAACAATGGAAGACGGTATGAATATAGGTGTCTACAAATTTATTTCATTAAGACTGGGATTGACTTGTCGGTTATTGAAAATGGAGTGTTCTCCACGTAGCCAACATTTCATTTTTAGTAGTTGAGGTAAATTCTTTAAGTCAATTTTTCAACGATGCTGCACTTTACCCACTTGTTTCGATGCTTTGTTGGAATAGACGTATTTGAAATTCGTACATTCAAATAATCTTTCTCGCCGGAGGAATCAGTCAATGGGATTTCATTATGGATGCGGTTGTAACGTTACCAAGCATTTCATCTCACACTCACAGAACAAAGTTTATTTCCGCAGATCTGATCAAAACCTAGCTTCCATGGTAGAAGAGTTACATTTTTTCAAGAACAATTACGCCGCACCAAAACCAATTAAAAATTTTACTGATATACTTTGGATAGCTAATTTTGCCACAACTCGTTCGTAGGGTATACTAAAAACCCATCTTAAATACAAAATCTTTAAAAATACCCCAATCAACAATTGACACAGCTCACAGCCAGGACAATTTGACAAGCTTATTATCAAATGCTAGAGTCTAATCTGTTAAAGATTATTGAAATGTCTGTTGAAGTTCTCTTGAAAATTCTGCAACATAGGTTATGTGTTTTATCAATCGGTAACTTTTGGATGTTTTGTCCTTTCTTGTCTATCTTATCCATTTTATATAATTTTGTTTTTATTCGTCTTCTAAATCCTTTTGACTTATGTATTTAATTGTTATTTTTATGTTTTCATCTTGCCTTACCCTTTCTCGTCCTTTCTACAATTTTGTCTCACTATATAGGTTCTAACTTTTTTTATTGACTTGTGTGCCATTCTTTTCTAATTGTCTTTTTGCGATTTGAGTTATCGCTATATCCTTCTATACCATCTTACCTTTATTGCCTTATTCTTTTTTCAGAGCAATTTGTAGATACTCGTATAGACTGAATCTTCACGTTTATTCTCCATATATCTACAGTCCCATCTCGAATAAAGTCAGGAAAAAATGAAAGTGATTTTGGGATAAATCTGTTATGCAACTATCTGATAATTTCAATGCCTACCTAGAAAATTCTGCTTTTTTTGAAGTGACTAAGGTTTGGCAATACCAATGTATGACGTATCATACATTTTTGGAATAAGAATTAAAAACTATATAACTATCTGTTAAAAATCTAATTTGGCGTCCATCAGAGAAACTAAAATTAATGGTGGAGAACAAGATACGAAACGTCATATTGAAATTCTAATTATGCCTTCTAGTAGAGGAGAAAAAGTGGTGATGTTAATGTGCAACTACAAAATAAGTTTTGAAATACCACTACAAATGAAAAAATCAAAATGATTTTGGGAAAATTCGGTGTTTTCCGTCTCTCTCAAGAAGTACTTTGAATTTCGAAGATCTCTACGCGGCATTTTGTTGATTATCTAAATACGCAAATTTGCAAGTGTCGAATTTGAAACCCCCTGTATACATCTGGCAACACCGCTAAGCTTAAAGTACATATACTCCCTCAGATAATCTCATGCGGCACAGACGTATCTCCTCTAGAATACCATCCGAGACAATACCAAAAATAAAAGATATCATCCTATAAAAAGAGGCAACCAGCACCAATCTATCTTATAATAGCGGACGGACGGTGTTCTGCCTAGTCTAGGCAAAATAAGGCCAATTAGCCAGGTATAGCGAATGAGACAGTGCACAGGATGGAACGGGTGCAATCAATGTATGCGTACATGTTGTGTGCATAAATGCATACACATGCAGACGACAGCAAAGAAGAAGAAGATAGAGAAGAGACGGAGCAGAAAAGAGCCTTCTTCAAGGACGTCTGATCGCCGATGTACTGCTGCTAACAAGCGGAATATCAGGAACATCTGTTACCTCAAATCTTGGCTATGCATCGTCAGTTAGCTGTTCTGAAAACTGTATAATCGCACAGATGGAAAAAATAGGCGTAGATCGGAAAGGGGTTAAGAGTATCCCGATTGATTCTGAAGGGCATTTTTCTTTTCAAAAGAGTAAGCAACGTGTTAAAAGTGAATTGGAAATGACATTGAAAACAAAATTTCGACCTAGTACTGTTTAAAGTGATTTCTTAACCAATAATTATCCTAAACAAGGATGGAGCGGAACTGTAACATACCACAGGTGGTGCACAATACTGCAGCCCAAGATGTTGTGTCTTTGAGGTGTGGGTTCATTTTGTAGAAATCAGAATACCTGCAAGGATTCTTAGTATATGCTATTATCAATAGTATTTTTTACCAAAAGGTTTAATTACAAATATAAGACATATAACTATAACTGTCTAGTGGCGAGTAATTCCAATTCAATTTGGTACGTGGTTAAGTTCCTTCCCTTAATGAACCTGAAAGCCCAACTGAATTCGATGCTTCCGATCAAAAATGATCTGCTGGTAC